ACTTCCAAAGCTTAAAGACTTGCCTAATATATAGGAGAGAGAGAGACACAGAGAGAGAGAGAGAGAGACAGAGACAGAGAGAAGGGAAGAAGGAAAGGGAGGGAGGGAGGGAGGGAGGGAGGGAGGAAGGAAGGAAAAGATTGACTGCCAGGACTCAGAAACACCCAATGTGCCCTCGCCACAGTGTAACTTAAAAGAATTAGAGGTTCTTGAGCTGGGGAGATAGCTTAGGATGGTAGAGTGCTTGCCTAGCATGCACAAGACCCTGGACTTGATTCCCAGCACTGCATAAACTGGGTGAGTTAGTGCACGCCTGTGCGCATAGCACTCTGGAGTATCAGGAGTTCAAGGTCATCCTCTGCTTTGAGTTAGATACCACCATGGGATGCATGAAACCTTGTCTCAAGAAAGGAGGTGGGGGGGAGGAAGGGAGAAATGGAGGGAGGGAGGGAGAGAGTACAGAGGGTGCAATCCTCACTTTACAACAACCCACTGTAGAGATAATAATCGTGTCACTGAGAGCAAGCTCATGCAAGCAAAACAGGTGTTATGGACTCTTAAGACCTAATCACTTCTCAAAGGCCAACGTCTCCAACCTCCACATCAGCAACCAACTTTCAACATGAAGGTAGGCCTGGTAGTGGACACTTGTAATCCCAACACTCAGGAGGCTGAAGCAGAAGGACTGCCATAAGTTCAAGGCCAGCCTGGGCTACAAAGTGAGCTCCAGAACAGCCTGGGCTACAAATTGGGACTTTGTCTCAAAAAAAGGTGGGGGTGGGGGGCTGGCTCAGCAGGCAAAGGTGCTTGCCACACAAGCCTGGTGACCTGAGTTCAAGCCCCAGAACCCATGTAAAGCTGTCCTCTGACCTCCGCACATGCACTGTGGCGTGCACTCCCCCAACATAATAGTAATTATAATTTGAAGACAAGAAAATAAAATTAAAGCCCATGTTGAACATTGAAGACTTTTGATGAAGAAAAAGAATGGGAAATACCTGACAAATAATGTGTTGAAATCATTACACTCTGTATACAAAGAGCTAACTAAAATATATCCCTATTAACTGTGGGGACACCCAGTCCTAATCTCAGCACTCAGGAGGCTGAGGCTGGAGGATTGAGAGTTTGAGGCTAGCTTGGGCTACATAGTGAGATGGAGGCTAGCCTGGAGACCATAGCAAGACCCCGTCCCAAAAAAATGAAACACAGTGCTAGGCATGGTAGTGCAATGCCTTTAATCCCAGCACTCAGGAGGCAGAAGCAGGTGGATCTTTGTGAGTTCAAGGCCAGCCTGGTCTACACAGTGAATTCCAGGCCAGCTGGGGCTACAGGGAGACCCTGTCTCAAAAAAGAACCCCCCCAAAAAAGAAAGAAAAGAAAAACAATGCCAGGGTGGTGCACACCTTTAATCCCAGCACTCAGGAAGCAGAGGCAGGCAAGTCTCCAGGTGAGTTCAAGTTCAGCCTGGTGTACATAATGAGTTCCAGCCCAGTCAGGGTTACATGGTGAGGCTTTGTCTTTATTTAAAAAAAAAAAAAAACACCCAAGAGGCAGGACGGATGGCTCAGTGGTTAAGAGCCCTGGCTGCTCTAGCAGAGAACCTAGGTTCAATTCCCAGCACCCACCTGGTGGCTAACAACCATCCATAACTCCAGTTCCAGGGGATCTGGCTCCCTCTTCTGACCTCCTCAGGCATTGCACAGACACAGGTGCACTCACATACATGCAGGAAATACACTCAAACACATAAAAAATAAAAAGCAACAAAATATTTTTTTAAAACAAAAACGAAAGGGAAACGAGAAAAAGATACCAGGGTTCAGAGAGGACTCCAGAGACCGGGATATACAAGCAAGTCTTCCTGGACCTGGGCCTCAATTTCCCCGCCCGAAAAGAGTGCCTATCTATTTCTGTGCCTTGCTGTGACAGTGGACAGGAGGAGTATGTAAAAACCCTGTTAATGTTGCCCACAGCGCCCCATAGGGTTTTGTCAGCTCGCGCCCGGGGTGCAGCGCCAAGTGCTTTCTAAGGATTATCTCACTTAATCCTCCAGTACCCCCCAGCAATGGAGACTCTCCTGATCGCCCCCACACCCCGAGTTGCAAATGTAGAAACCGAGCTTCGGATAGATGAAGCAACTCGCCCAAGGGGGAAGCAAGATGCGGAACATCGGCGCTGCCCTGGAGTCCAGCGCGCAAAAGCGACGGTCAATTACCACTCAATTACAAAGATGCTACTGACGGGTTTCTGGGTTGTTCTGGCTTCGGGCAATGGGGGTCTGTGGATCAAGCCCAGCTCTCCGGGCAGTGGGGACAGGAGAAGTGGATGTCAGTGCCCTGCCCTTATAGATCGCCCCCCAGCCCCTCCGCTCACCTCGCGTATTTGGTTTTCTGGAAATCCAGCAGCCTGGTCAGGGCGAACATCACCGCGGTTCCATCAGCACCCCGCCCGGGGCTGGAACGCGACAACTCGAGAGCTAGGCGGGAGGCGCAGCAGGTTAGAAGGGCTGCGGACCCGTGGGGAGCCCCAGGGCCGGAGCAGACCCGGAGCCGCTTCCTCCAAAGCCCTGAGTCCGGGAGCCCGGCTGGAGTTGCAGATTGCAAATCCAGAGCAGATGGTGGCGGGGGCGGGGCGGAGGCGGGCTGTGGGGGGGACTCGGGTGCACGCCGCCAATCGTGCAGCCCCAAGTCCCCTCCTTCCTGCCAGCTTTTCTCGGTGTCCCCTCCACCCCTCCACCCTGTAGCTTTTCCAGGCAGTAGAAGAAAGCTTGGACTAGACTGAACTGCCTGGTCTCTGCCTGCCAGCCAGAGTTGCTGCAAGCCACACAGGACCCAGATGCCAGCCTCAGGATACTTGTTGCTTGTTCTTACCCCTGTGCACCTGCAAGACCCGCAAGCTCAGGTCACCCAGGACCACGTGACTCTAGGGGACCCTCATCCTCCCACTACCACCATATGGGGACATCCCAGCGTTTCCAGGACCTGCATGCATCCCCAATTCCATCCTAACATCATTTTTTAAATTTTTTGTTAATTTATTTATTTTTACTTTATGTGTAGGAATGTTTGCGTCCATATATGTAAGTGCACCCGTTTTGTACAGTGCCTGCCCAGGCCAGAGGAGGGCATCAGATCCCCTGGGACTGGAGTTAACAGTTGTTAGCTGCGATGTGAGTGTTGGGATTGGAACCCAGGTCCTCTGCAAGTGCAACCAGTGTTCTTAAGCACTAAACCATCTCACCAACCCCATCCATCCTAACATCTTCAACACAATTCAGCTCACTGTTTAGTGTCTTTTAATACATTTATATATTTATTTATGGGGGTGCACACATGGTGAGGTCTGGGGACAACCTTCAGGAATCAGTTTTCTTCTTCCACCATGTAGGACCTGGGGAGCAAACTCAGGTCTTCAGGCTTGGCAGCAAGCACCTCTACGACCCAGTCATCTTGACAGCCCCAAATTCAACTTTCTGTTTTAGGAGATTTTGGCATGTTTGGGTGCTATAGGAATGCAATCTGACCATGGAAAATTTGAACATGCCTCGGGCTTGGCTGGCAGGATGGTCTTTGGTATGTGGTGGTCCATAGTGATTATCAACTTGACAGGATCTAGAATCACCAAAGAGACAAGCCTCGGGGCACAATGTGAGGGATTACATTGATGAGCCAAGACCCACCCTGAATGTGGGTGGCACCATCCCGTGGGCTGGGATCCTGGACTGAACAAAAAGAAGACAGGGAGCTGAGCACCAGCACGCATCGCTCTCTGCTTCCCGACTGTGGATGCCATGTGACCTGCTGCCTGATGATCTGCCACCAAGACTTCCCACTGAGATGGACTGTACTTCCAACTGTGTGCCAGAATACAGCTTCCTTACCTAAGTTTTTGCCAAGTATTTTGTCACAGTTATGAGACAAGCAACAATACAATGTTCAAGAAATGCCATCCCCAAGTTAACTGGAAGTCCCCTCCTCTCCAGCCCACCCTTTCCCCAGCTTCCCACTCTGAAGTGCGCAGTTTCCAATCCTTTTAATTTATTTATGTACTTTTTTCTCAGTGCCAGAGATGGCACCCAGGACTTCCGCACATGATAAACAAGCACCCTCTAACCAAGAAACATCCCCAGACCCTTTTTTAAAATTTTTTAAGATTATTTTTTATTTTGTGTGTATGAGTGTTTCTCTGCATATATGTATGTGTACTGTATCACAATGCCGGTAGAGGCCAGAAGAAGACATAGGACCCCCTGGAACTAGAATTACAGATGATTGTTAGCAACCACGTAGGTGCCAAACCCTGGTCCTCTGCAAAAGCAGCCAGTTAAGAAATCACTGATCATCTCTCAGTCCCCCTTTTAAAATTTTTATTTTGAGGTAGACTGGCTGGTCTTGACCTTGCAGTCCTCCTGCCTTCAACCTCTTAGTGGATGGGATGACAAATTTGGTCTAATTCTTTTTAGAATAATGCTTACTTGGCATCCACTGACAACCTCTGTCTCCAGGGAGCTAGGACAAGCAGCAAACCCACAAAAGGCTGCCTACTTCCTCTCTGCATTCTCAAAACTGGGCCTAGAATGGGTCTGTGTATGCCCCTGGCTGGGGGATCAGAGGGTTACAGGTATGGTTCAGAAAAACATTGTGTTGGGGGTGTTGCAGTAGTCGGGAGGAGGGTGACAGGGAATACTAAACGTAGAGGTAAAAGCAGGACCTGGGGAACTGAGGAAATAGGGCTGACCAGACCTAGATATTGGATTGGAAGTGCAGGAAGGGCCGGGAGAGATGGCTCAGTGGTTAAGAACACTGAATGCTCTTCTGAAGGACCCAGGTTCAGTTCTCAGAACCTGCATGGCAGCTAACAACCACCTGTAACTCCAGTTCCAGGGGCTCTGGATCACATGTATGAAGAATGCCAGCATCCTCATACATATGGCATACACTCATGCAACATATACACATAATAATAAAATAAATCTTTTTTAAAAAGAAGCGCAGGAAGATGCTCAACATGATCATCACAGCACTTGGAAGACAGACAGGATTAGCTCAAGTTCAAGACCTGCCTGGCCTACAGATTCAGTTAAGGGACAGCCTGGACAACTTAGCAAGATCCTATCTCAAAGCAAAAGAAATAAAAAAGAAGGCTGGGGATATTACTCAGACACTTGCCTAGAATTCCCTAGTGAAGGGCTGGAGACATGACTCAGTGGTACAGCTCCTGCCTAGAATCCCCCAGTGAGAGACTGGGGTGTGACTCAGTAATACAGCTCCTGCCTAGAATCCCCCAGTAAGAGACTGGGGTGTGACTCAGTGGTACAGCATCTGCCTAGAATCCCCCAGTGAGAGACTGGGGTGTGACTCAGTAATAGAGCTCCTGCCTAGAATCCCCCAGTGAGAGACTGGGGTGTGACTCAGTGGTACAGCTCCTGCCTAGAATCCCCCAGTGAGAGACTGGGGTGTGACTCAGTGGTACAGCATCTGTCTAGAATCTTCCAGTGAGGAGCTGGTGTGTAGCTCAGTGGTACTGCACCTGTCTAGAATCCTCCAGTGAGGGGCTGGGTGCGTGGCTCAGTGGTAGAAGGCTTGCTTAGAATGTGTGAGGCCCTGAATTCAGTCTCTACTACAGAGGGGGAAAAGAATGAATGAATGAATGAATGAATGAATGAATGAATGCATGAATAAATGAATGAATGAATGCATGAAAATGCCACAGTGAATGAAACTCATTACTTTTTATGCTAACTTTAAAAATTAATTCACGCCCATGAGATGGTTCAGCCAGTAAAGACACTTACCAGAAGCCTGACAACTTGAGTTTGAGCCTTGAGACTCACATGGTGAAAGGAGGAAACAAACTCCTACAGCTGTCCTGTGAGTCCACATGCACATACCCCACACACGCTCACACAAAATAAATGTAAGGAAGCATATATTTGTTTTAAAAATGAAATGTAAGAAAGCATATTTGTTTTAAAAATGAGGCAGAAGGTACAGTTAGAAGGCGTTTGTTCATGTGAGCTGTTTTAGTTTCATTCTGTTGCTGTGACAAAACACTCTGACCAAAAACAGCCTGGGGAGGAAAGGGTTTATTCCAGGTCATAGTCCATCATTGAGGGAGATCAGGGCAGAAACCTGGAGGCAGGAACCATGGAAGAGCACTGCTAGCTAGCTTGCTCTGTGGCTGACTGGCATGCTTATGCTCAGCTAGCTTCCTTATAGAACCCAAGACCACTTTGTTTAGGGATGGTGCTGCCCACAGTGGGCTGGGCTCTCCTATATCAGTTAATAATCAAGACAATCCCTCACAGACCATGGACCATGGACCAGCCTGATCTAGGAAATTCCTCAATTGAGGCTTCCCTCTCAACTGACTCTAGGCTATGTCAAGTTCATAAGGTGTTCTAGGACACAGGGGACGTCATTTTGGATTGTGCATCTATGTGCCCTGGTTGGGATGAACATGAGGGTTTGGTTAACATCTATAATCCCAGAACTCAGAAGATTGAGGCAGGGGACCCTGAGTTTGAGATTACATAGCAAGAAAAACAAATGAACAAACAAAAAACAGTGAGAGGCTGGAAAATGACTGGGGGCGGTGGGTAAAGTTATTGCTGTACAAGCATAAGGACCTGAGTTTGGATCCCCATCACCCACATAAAAGCTAGGCACAGCAGCATGCATCTATAACCCCAGCCCTGGGGGCACAGACATAGGCAGATCCTGAGAGCCCACTGGTCAGCCAGCTTAGTTCAAAAGGTAAGCTCCAGGTTCTGTGAGAGACAGTGTTTCAAAAATAGGTGGAATCAAGGGCTCAGTGGTTAAGAGCACTGACTGCTTTTGCGGAGGACCTGGGTTCAGTTCCCAGAACCCACATGACAACTAAGATTGTCCATGACTTCAGTGCCAAGGGATCCAACATACTCTTCTGGCCTCCATGGGCATTGAACAACATGGGTGCACTTATATGCATACAGGCAAAATATACACATATAATAAAAATAAGAAAAAACGTATTATTTTTTAAAAATAAGGTAGAATCAATAGTGGAAAATATTCAGTGTTGACCTCTGGCCTCTACATACACACACACACACACACACACACACACACACACACACACACACACACACACACACACACACACACACACACACACACACACACACACACACACACACACACACACACACACACACACACACACACACACACACATACACCACAACCAGAGTGAGCCAGGGTTCACTGGTCAGTACCTCTGTGGTATGAGTGAGGGAACCTGAAATTTAGGAGGCCAGAGACGTTCCTGGGGGGCATGATCCTTGGGGACAGGCTATACATTGAACTCTGAGCTCCCTGCCCAACACAAATCCAAGAAACTCTAGTAACTTCTCCAGACCTCCAGAAGCCAGAAATCAACAGAGGAATTAGAGCTAAGGCCCTCGTTGCACAGCCCTGCCCTGATCTTACAGGATTAACACTTGACTGTCACACAGAATTATCTCTGCCCCAGTCCTCAACCTCAACTCCAGCCAGGCCTCTACTGATGTTGCAAAACTGAAAAGCTTCTGGGGCCTGACCCTCCCTAATCACCATTCTCCC